CTGGCTTTCTTGCCTATTCCACACCCCTGCTTTTGGGCCTCTGGTTGTTGGCTAGCAACGTCACTTTGGGATGCCATTTCCTTAATCACGATCTAACCTGCATAACATAAACATGCAGAACCAAACTTGCTCTGATACCAACTCTTGTCACAGGTCGAGACTTAACCTCTAAACCTGCGCGGCTCTAGAACCCGGGCATCCACTCATCCGGTGTCTCAGATTAGCCTAACTGCCACGATTCATACCCTTGTGAGGTATTGTCCGCTCTAGCCCCTGGCTTTACGATTTTATCCTACAAAAGGCGTCTCACAAGGAAAAGATGGTGTGAAACCTTTTATATCCCAATGACCCTTCTATTATGTTTGATGTGGGATTCAAGACTCTTTCTTAGGTTCGTAACATTCTCCTCCACCCAACCTCGTGACGCCCTCGTCACAAAGGCTGGCCACATTGCTTACTTCTTTCGAGGCGCTTGACTTAGATCGAACGGTTTAAGGTTGGCTCTGATAACAATTGTCACAGGCTTCGACCTTAAACTCAGAATCCTTATAGCCTTAGGCTTGAAATCTCCTCTTTTATGCCTAAGTCAGCCTAAAACACAAGCGTGCGGGCACTAGAACAATGGGAAGGGTTGATTACGCAAGTTAAAGAAAATAGATAACAAGGCAGAATGCTAGAAATATGCTCTATATTCACTGAAACATAAGTATTTGATGGTGTACAAATGAGGGTGGAGCAACCCTCTATTTATAGTTAAGGCTCCAGCTACACTTAATGACAATATCCCTAGAATAAAGGCTAAAATCAAAGAATTACAAAGATTACAATCAATCAAGATTTTAACTCCTGAATTCTATGATCAACCAAATCTGTCAGGAGGCTCCTGCTGATCCTGCAGGTTTTTAGAAGAACTTGCGTATCTCCCCCCTTGGGTCCCTTGGATGTGGTGCGGGCATCCTACAGGCCAGGCCTTGGCCTCACGAGCTGGCCTGCAAGCTAGGCGAGCGTTCTGGCCTTGTCTCCTAGGCCTTGCACGTAAATACCCGCCAACTCGCCTGGAATGCGAGCCTCAACCTTTGGTTCGCATGCTAGTGCGTTGATGTGCCTGATGCGCCCGCCTAAGGTGTGACACATGCACTGGAAGGATGGGAGGAGCATGAATGTGGTTTCACCATGTCAAACATTGAGAAAGTTTGGGAAGCAAGTCTCAAACATGGATTTCAGCCTCTGAGGGTCCCAACTCGATCAAAATCCTAAATACTTGGCAACCTATATATATAGTATATGGTATCGTGTTTAGCATATCTATGTTTTCTATGTAGTAAGCATTAAGATATCGTTCGAATTATAGACCCCATATATGCCTCCATAGTACGTATTATAGTTTTCAAATAAACAAGTCCCTTTTAACTTTTAAACCGTTGGTGACTATAATTGCTTTATTGTTTATTATATTATATTAATTTCTGCTCTGGTATTATTTTGTTGGCCTATCAACAAGTTTAGAGTATACTATATTTCACATTAGATACAAAAATTTAATTATTAATAAATAAAATTAATATAAAATAATTATATTTGAAAAAAATAATTATCATATTACAAATAGTTATAATTATTTAAATATAAATAAATTTTTATTCATAAAAATTATAATTATACAAAATATTATAATCATTTAAATAAAATTTATATCTGTTCATTCATAAATAAATATTTTAATATAATTATTTGTATTATTTTTGCTTGAAAATTTTTAAAATATTATTATATCTTAAAAACATAATTATTTTTAAAAAATATTTTTTACATCTCAAAATCAAAATTATTTTTTGATTATTTCTCTTCTTTTATGTAATTTTCTGATAATTCGCCGTAAGAATACCTTGACCAGCCTATAAATCAGACTGGGCATCGCTGATTTAAAACATGAGGGAGACTTTTGTTTTATTTTTTTTTTTTTTTATCTCATTGGTCTTTGAGCCTCAATGGGATGATCTAGACCAATAGTTAGTTTAAATGGGCCGAGTGAGACCATTTAGTCGCATAAGCCCACTTCAGTTGTATCTAACAATAATTTAATAGTTGGGGCTTGATGGAAATAAAGGTTGTTTAAATCATTTCAGTTGGGCCTCAGTAGACAATAGAGCCCATTCCTAATGGGCCTAAAAGGAACAGTTGAAGCCTACTTTAATTAGGCCTCAAATGGGCCAAAATCATACTTCAAATCTACCTAACAAAGCCATATGGTGATATTGGGCCAAACTATGCCACTCTTGGGCCATATTACCTCACTTCAGTTGGGCTAGTGCTTGGAGTATAGAGGAAATATTGATGTTAGATAACTTTGAAGGATGACAAGAATGATTAGTGAAACGTTACAGAAGTACATATGTAGATATGGTAATTAAGACAGTCAGAATCAAATCCTATATATAAGGCTGCCCTTCACTGCATTGTCATTTGCCACAAACAAGTCTTTGTAATTTGTTTTTGCCGGTAAACGCACAGAACTGCTTCGTCCGATCATGCAGATTTCATATATATATATATATATATATATGTATCTTGTTCAAATGGGTCCGGGGTGGTTGAGTTGAAGAGCAATAGCCAACCGAAGCACTACAAGAACTTCAACAAAAAGAAAAAAAGAAGAAAGAATTCTTGGCTACCTACCATACCATTAGTGCTTACTAGTTGCAACAAATTATGAATAATAATTAAGGTGAACAGTATAATTATATAATGGCATGGGGGAGGTTGTGTAAGTACCAACAATTCACTTAACCTAAACAAATATTCATCTAGGTCTTGTACTAAAAGCAAAGACTAGTGGCTCCCATTCCAAAATGCCAAATCCTACCTCATCTTGATTGACATGTTCATTATGGGGATGAAGAATTATTTCTCTTTTAAATTGTGGCTGTCCCTGTGTAGCTTCCCACTTCCCACTTTAAACATTGATTAATGGGTTGGTAGGATTAGGAAATAGGAATAGGGTTGCACATTGCAGTGCTCAAACAACTTGAATCTCATTTACTTTCTTAATTAAACCCCCACCCTTCCATTGACCTAAGCGTCCAAGAGTCTCAAGTGCTCTCGGCTCGTATATGGCCATTCATTATTCCTTTGTTTAATGATAATTTCTAAGGACACTTTTGATGGTTTGGTTAAAGAATTCAAACGTGCCTTTTGCCATCCAAACAAAGTACGTGCAGCTAATTTTTGTCGTAAGCCGCACTTGTATACTCGGTCCAGCAGCCAATGATCAATAAAAAGAAAAGGTTTCGATGAACTCGTGGCTGAATTAACTATTTATTCAGATGAATGCGTGCACTACTGAAGAATGTGTTAGGACATGGCACATTGAGGAAATTAAACGAGAATGGAAGAGCTAGCTTTCAAGAAAAAAAATAAAAATTCTATCTTCAAAGGTATACCTGGTTTCCATTCTACACCAATAAGGGATTTGTAAAGTTTGAGAGGGGAGGAGGACTAATACTCATGCATTTTCCTAAAAAGATTGCCCAAAAAAGAAAGAAGAATGGAAGAGAGAAGACCACGTTGATTTTGTGGGCGGCGGATAGAAACCTCATTTCTGCAAAGAGGGCAAGTGGAACGATAATGGAACCACGCATCTATGCAATCAACATGGAAGCAGTGGTTGCATCTGGGTAGCCGCCGGAGCCTCTCCCCTTCTTCAGCTTCATAAAGACACACACAACAATAGGGTACTGTTGCTGCCGCACCAACCTTACTTTTGGTGGGATTGTATTTGTAATGGAAGGTGAAGACAGGTAGGCGATCCTTGAACCATACAAACTTTGCATAAATGAGGCGAATGGCAAAGAAGATGAAGGTACTGAGAACAAGGGTTTTTTTCCAGCTACTTGTAGAAGCCAACCAACTAGCGGCCATCTCGCTAATCAATTCCAACTCATCTTTAATCATGGCTGATGGTTTCATGGAAAAGCTCACCTCTCTGCTCCCCTCTTTCTCTCAACAATTCAGCACATGAAAGGAATATTGAATATTTTTCATGTTGGACTTGGGTTGATTCCTTCTTGTTTACATTTACTTGTATTTTTCTGTACCACAACATCTATATCCATATATAAATATAAATATATAAATATATATATGGTACAGAAAGATAGCGTCCACCCATAACATTATTAAACTAAAATAAATAAAATGTACTTGACTTATTTATGTCATATGTGGCGTCCAAGCATAACATAAAGTATACTTCAGTACCTAACCAAATTTATAGCTAATATCCTAGAAACGTGGCATCCCCACATAACTTAATAATTATATATTTCAACAATCAAATCTCATTTCCTTTTAAGAATACTTGCTAAGAAGACGATGTTTTAGAGAGTAGTGCTGCCTGCCTGCCAGAAAATGGAATGGTTATTTCCAATGTTTCCATTTCCCTCATTAGTAAACATGTAAGAAGCAATTTAATTAATATGAATGACTAATTGAATAGGTTAGTTTGCTTAATTAGTAGAATTGGTTGCAAATATAAACGTGGTTGTTGTTTTGGCAGAGAGTGGAAACTACGGCTACAAAGTCCAATTAATCAAGTTTCAACAGCCCTGGTTTGAACTTTGAAGAAGCAGAAAACAGGTGTACCAACCGCAGGAAGGACTGCTTCGCAGTGTCAAATGCTAACCTCATATTTATTTCAAACTATAAGTTGCACACGGTTGTACACGTTACAGATTTTTGAGGGAGAGAAAGAGCAGGGTTACCGTTTATAATTGAAGTCAATAAATTGTAAGAAACTGTAAGATATGCATAGGTTGATTGTTCTGATAAAAGTTCCTAAATACTAACCTGATGATGAGTTTGTCAGTGAATGCATTGAGCAATTCTCAAGACGCAATTATCATAAGTGTTAGTATTAGGTAACCAACTCATCATTATCAATGTCTACTGAAATAATATTAGCAATATATAGAAGCAACCATCTAGTTTCTCCAATTTGCATGTCAACTTAAATCTCGAAGCCATTCTAATTGATGACACAATTTTAGAAATGTTGGAATCTTTTATAAACTTTTCCTCCTTATTGAACTTTTTGTTTCCCATTCTAAGCAATTGTGGGATCTTTGCCTTACCTCTTTATGAGCTTGTCCAAAACACTATATATGGTCCTAACTATAATGGGGGTTTTTAATAAGCAAGTTGATGAGACGGTAATAATGACTTACACCTCCTGTAATTTTGTCTAAAGGGTGTTTTCATAAGCAATGGTCACCATTTCAGTAATAAACTTAATGTTGTAAGTTTTAGTATATCATTGTAGAAAATTTTGTTGAACTTGCAAAAAGGCTTGACAGGAAGTGATGGAAGCAAAGAACCGACATGTACATGAGACCATTTCTACTAAATGTTTTCTTTTCAAAGCGATTCAAAGTGATGCATAGGAATACAAGCAAAGTGAAATCTGTAGCTAGCTCAAACGCTAAGGACCTGAGGTACACATTTCCATCACTCACCGATCGAGAACAATGGCTGTCGGGTTATAAGAAAGCTAATTGCTGATAGGTCAATGGAAGCTGATGTATTTACCATGTTTTATGTACCCCGAAAGAATTAAAGAATCGAGTCCTCAGCACTATTAAGGAGAGCGGGATTATATTTTTGTGAAACCTATGTTTCTTGTTTTGGGGAAACGAGTAGTTTGCTTTGAATTTAGTAGCAATACCAATGACAATCACAGTTGCTAGTTGCCCTTAAAGAAAAATAAACGTCATCAATGTTCCATGGGTAACAGTTAAATAAGTGTTTCTAAGTTGCTATTGTATTTGACAAGTACAATCAAAGTGATTTCAATTGCATTGCCAAAATACACATTGGATGCAGATGTTGAACTGTTAAAGGGTTAACTTCCTACAATGATACTATACTCACATTTGAAGCATTGAGAGTAGCAACTTAATTTACATGCAAAGAATAAGAATCACCCAAATAAGAACTGGAGAAATGGGAGCATTTATTGTGATTATCAGTATTAATAATTTTATTAGAAGCATTACAATATCAAGAATATAGAGGTATGAATCTTATCATGTAATTATAAACGCTATGTGATACAAAAACCTCCCCAATTAGAATATAGTAATGTGCAACAAACTGTGGCATAACCTGTATGAAAGAAAATGATATCAGTGACTAAAAGTGTGCTTAATAAACAAGTGATCAAAGATTCTTGTAACCAAAAAATTGGCAGATAATTGTGACCAAATATTTAAGACTGAAAAATTCACAGATACAAGTATATTACCTGGACTGAATATGCTCTTTCATCACTGGCAGAGTTGGAAAGCCTAGGCAGTGACCTGCATATGCCACATATATCAGTCAAGCGAGGAAGATGCAAACCAAGATGGTTTCTGCATGTTGATCCAGCCATGTTAAGTAATCAAAAATCTCTTGGTGCTTTAAGAGTATTATATAAAATCTAGTTAATTGTTCAAACTTAACGTATTGAAAGTACTCTCCTGGGTTTCCTAAGTATACCCCAATCTATCCTAAAAAACTAATAATTTATTTGTGAACTTTAAAGATCAGTTGCCCAGGACGATATTATTTTGAGCAAAATACATTTTCCAAGTTCTTGCAGACCTGGATATATACTTCAGAAAGAATTTCAAGTTGAATACTGTGATGCAAAATTCAGGCCATAGACAGGTCCAACTCCTTTTCCGGGTTCAATACATCCCCTCTTTCTTCCCTATTATTATACCTCTAGAGGTAGAACTAGGAGAGATACTTTCTATTTCCTAATTTAGAGAAGCCCATAACCCAGATCTTCTATTGGATCTCTAAATTTGTTAACATAAAATTTCTCGTCCTAAATCCTACAAGGCAAAGTTCTGCCTATTAATCCGTACTTTTCCTTGTTTCATGTCTCAAAGTGTCAATCATCCAGCACCTTTTTTCTATGAAATAGTGTTCTCTTTTTTCGTATGATAATTTCATCCGAATAATAATGTTCCTAAGATTATAATTTTAATATCTCAGAGACACAAAGTTCAAGCACTGGACAAGCTCCTTGTTTTTCTTCACATCCCAACTTTGAAAATACCATGTTGTTCATCTCGCAATCACATAGGTATCCTCTTCTCTTTTCTTCCAAGAACAAATACATTCATTTAATAATGTACCCATCACTGCTTCAAAGAAAAACAATAATGTACCTATTACATATACAACTATGATTGGATAGGATACTCTTACATTATCTTCACAAATGCAGTAATATCCATTTTCTTAGTTTTGTTTTCTAACAAAAAAAATAGGGCGAACCAATGACTATTTACCTTTTCATCTTTTGGGGTGAACACAACTTTAACCGCCTCAAACACCTCTTCAATCGGCTTTGCAGCATCAATCTAAAGGTCAAAGCAACAACATTTGAAGTTGAGGTGACCAATCATCTAGTAAAGAACCAAACAATTCAGACAGAATTTTACCTCTTGGACCTTCCCCTTGGCCTTATAGTACTCAATTACAGGAAGGCTTGACTCTAGAAACACCTTGAATCGCTTCCTTATCGTTTCAATATTATCATCTTCTCTTCCCTTGATCATGAAGAAAAAAGAAAAATAGTTTAAAACACATAAAATGCCACAAGACAAAAAGAGACAACGAAATCTTCAAATGAAAAATCATATTAATGACCCAAATGTGTGTGTGTGTGTGTGAGAAAGAGAGAGAGAGAGAGAGAATCAAGAAACCTGATTCCTACTCAGAAGACGCCTCTCCATGTCTTCTTCAGGGCAATTAAAAAACAGGACAAATTCTGGCTCGATTTTTGTCTGCAGGACAAATTCAAGGCAATCAAGTACCTGACTAAATGATGCTGAGAAAACTAGGTAAAAGAAAAGCCCAACAGCATGTACATTGAAAAAATAAATATGGAAACAAAGAATGATAAAGACTTACAACAGCTTCAAATGCTGCACGGTTTTCCTCATTACGAGGAAAACCATCGATAAGGAACTTGTCATTACCACTTTCCAGCATTGCTTTTTCAAGAAGCTTAATTGTAACCTCAGAAGGTACAATCTTTCCTTCTTTGATCATGTTCTGAATCATGGTTCTGCAGATCAAAAGACAACATATGTCAAATATGATATAGCAGAAAATGGGCGCATGGGGAAAATGATTCAAATGCAAAAAGAAAGAAACATATAAAAGGTTCAATATACACAACTGGATTAGTATATGAACATGCACCCACCACTTCTGCCCTTAACTCAATGTCTGTATGCGACAGACACGGAAAACATATCCAGTGTTATCCTCAGAATTTAACCAGAACAGAGTATGCAAATAGCTTATCTAGCTATGCAGGGAATAGATGGGAGACCTAGAAAATCTGAAAGAATAAACTTCATTTTCTTAAATTCTCAATAGTTGATGGTGGCGATGCTTATTATCTCCAATTAAAACATCCTAAAATAGAAATTGAACAGATCTCAAAAGGAAGATAACAACGATAATTCAGAGGATTTTTCTCAAACGATAATCCAAAAGTTTGATACTTTTCAAAATTGGTTCCAGATCTGAATCATGTATAATGATCAATCTGTAAATGCAACGTCTAGAGTTAGCTAAACTTCTATGCAAGGCCGGCTAATTTTTGCAGGCATATGTGCCATACCCATTTTCAGAGCCAGACTTAATTTCTGCTCGGAGAAGATCTCCAGCGCTGAGATGGTTGTAATGGAATTGTTGGACAATTTTTGCACACTGGGTACCTTTTCCACTGCCGGGGCCACCTGATCAATCAACAAAAAAAAAAAAAAAAAACACTCTAGAGTCTGTAGGCATTTACTAACAAGAAGAAAATTAACATGAGGTAAAGATAAACGTAAAACTAAGGAGAGACAAAAACATAGAGAGGAAGAAGTGGCTTACCCAAAACAAAAACAACTATTGGCTTTTTGTCGGCCAGGCTAAAAGTGACATCCTGTAGTTAGAAGATTATGTCATAAGTTGATGGGGGTGGGAAAAATGCGAATCCATGATAAAGGATAACACTTGCTTTCCCAAAAGTCTTTTTTTTTTTTATGAGAAACAATTGGATCAACAGAATAAATTCCATTTTGGCAAATACCTTGTTTGCAGAGTCAACGGTTCCCATGAGAGAGAATTTAGCTTAGAAACCTGCATAAATGGAAAAGGAAAACATTCAAGAAAAAGAAAAGCAAGAGATCGAGATAAAATAGAAACATGTTGTTAATTTTGCAAACAAGTTGAAGAAGAGATCTGAAGGGGGATGTGCAGGGCAGCTATAGCAGCAGCAGGAGATGTAAAGTGGGGAAAGGCAAGAAACAAAAGGAAACAGATCACATCTACATTCAGATGGGAACGCGATCCATGAATTTTCAGTTTCCAAATATCAAGGAAGAAGCAGAGAAATTGAAAAAAATGAAGTAAATTTTACACAGATGGAATGAGAAATTAGAGTGAAGAGTAGAATTGGTAAACATGGAAAAATGCAGATGGAAAGAAAAAAAGAAAGAATTTACCTGAATTATTAGGTGAGGGAGGAAAGGGAGGAGATTTGTTCTTCTCACTCAACGTGCGAAAGAATGGAGAATGTCAGAGTGAAATGGTCTGGACCTGGGAATGAGGAGGGTTTTAAATACTTTTGGCTGTGCAGAAAATGAGCGTTTTCTTTTTTCTTTTTTTTTTGGGGGGGGGGGGGGGGGGGGGGTTTGATTTGCAAAAGGGCATATTTGGAATATGGTATGAAAAAGTGGTTGTTTGCGTAATAGTAACGGCTAGGCAGGCTGTTTCTTCTCGGTTACTGAACCTATCCCAACATCATCAACCAACATATTTCCATGTTTTTTCTGCTTTTGCTTTCATTATTTTTTTTTCTTGGTACTTCTTTCACTTCCACTTCATATCTCTGAAAACCATCTTCAACCCATCCCATCCAACAATAATAACAAAAGACGTACAACTAAAAAAATGGAAAAACTGGAAACTCCTTCAGATTCAAACGTAACATCAATCTATGAATCAATCAATCAGTGTTTAAAACATGTCAAACTAATTGATTCCTTCCTAAGGAATTAAAATAATCAGACTTTAGCTCCTAATTACCATTCCTTACCAATTCACTAAACTGATTTTCTTGAATGAATGGGTCGTAAAACAAGCTTCGGCTCATTTATTATACATTGTTAAGCACCCCCCCCCTCCCAATTTCCAAACCAATGCTAGTTTGCAGTTGGATCTGCAATCACCAAAACCCAATCAGGACACAACCAAAAAAAAAAAAAAAAAAAGGCGTTGATATGAAGAAAATGAATCAACAAACTATCCATCATTACAGACCATGTATTAACAACAAAAAAAAATCCCTAAATAATCAACTATCCACTGTCATAAACAATATAATGGTACAACAATAGAGCAAAATAAAAACATATCTACGAAAGAATCTAAGCGGTCCAACCGAATTAACAAAATTAATTCTACTAGTATGAATGAGTAGAGGATGGATGATTCATCTCCTGAATTATATCTGTAATAAGTAATAGTACACAGGTATCATCGGGCCCATGATACAGAATCAATCTCCTCCCTCGCAGCCTTATATAATTCAAGCCTTTTAGCACACTGTTGTCTCCTCTCCATCAACGCTGGATCCTCATCTAACATTTGTGAAAGCTGCTTCCCCTGAAACATACACATGCAACAAAACCACCCATTAACCATGTCTGCAATGCATACTACTACCACGTTTTTTTTCTTTTCAATTCAACCGGTAGATCCTAATGCACAAATCAAAACCACTGTTTTGTTCAACAAACCAGAACCACAACATAACTACTTCAATCACAATGCCATCACATGATACACCTTAGCATATGCCCGTGCACAGGGCAGTGTCTTGCCCACGTTTACCAAAAGATTATTAACTTCCTATCATCTTGAATGATTAGAATATTTTGCAAGTTAACTCAACCTCAAATGACAAATATTCCCTAAAACATATAGAGAGAGAGAGAGAAGAGAGAAAGATGTTACCTCTTTCTTTCCTAGCTGTGTGTAGAAGTGGTTTAGCAATGATTGTTTTGCCTCCCTAACTTGACAGTAAACTACAGCCTTTGGAATAGTGTTCTTTACCGTCTCTGACACCATACCAACATACGAAGAAACGTTTGACCCTATCCTCCGAAAATGGCCCTCACCATACCGGTCAGTAGTTGTAGCTGCAGGATTTCCTCCTTTATCTACTTCCTGGGGAAGCCTCCGGAAGAAATCTACTGTCAAATATGAAGATTCCATATCTACCAATCGGACAACTGTTTTCTTACTTTCATCCCGAAACCTGTCCAATGCCTCGTTAGCAGCTGCTGCTATTTCAGCTTGCACAGTGGGAAAGCGTTTTAGTTCCTGTTAATACACATCAATTGGTTGTCATCTTTGGAAGGACACTAGAAAAACCTAAACTATATAAGATATCAGATTAATTTCCCAAACTTTTACCTGAGTTTCTCCTATAGATTTCCTCACAAGTTCCTTCAGGACAAAGTGAACCTACAAAAATATTGCATCAGCTAAAAATTGTCACAACATCAGAAAAAAGGACTACTTTCAAAATGCATCTTGCATTACAAAATAAAAGATAGAGGATGACAACTTACAGCATCCACAGAAGCTTCAGCGGGGCCCCTGAAATAATTTAATGCACCTTCAATCAGCCTACGGTAACCTTGCTCAGGGGCTATCAAGTGTGGTTGATAACCATCTGCCTCCGACACTACTCTCCTTACATTTTGCAGAGAAAGATGCCGATCAAAGGGAAGTTTCCTCAAAGCAGCAGGTAGCTGGTTGTCAAAGACTCCATAAATACGATCACCTCCAGGTCGCCTAAGATATCATGATCCAAAGAAGTTATTAGAGCAAGCATCATAGCTATTTTAGCGTGTGATTAATATGGAAGATGCAGATGATCTTAGATAAAAACTAATGTACTCAGTTCACTGAAAAATAGTACACACTTAACATCTACTTAAATTTAGATAAATTAGATTAAGGATAACCATATACAAATTATGGGCTATATTGAACTAGACTATTTATCCCACTTTTACCAAAGATATTTGTATTTAAAAAAAAAAAAAAAAAAGAGATCCGTCCAAATATCAAGAGCATGAAATGAACTCAAGGATGAATGATTTTCCAGACTCAGACCAATAACCAAGCCAGAGAAGGAAAAATGGTTTAGACTCTCAGAATGCAGCAAGAAAAGGAAAAAAAAAAAAATAGAAGTAGCTGAAGTATTTACCCGCCATCAAGATGCTCCCTGAATATCCGTTCAAATGCACGGCAAAGTTCCAATATAGTGTATAGTTGAGCCTAAAATACAACATCGCAATAAAACATAGCACAAAAAGTAACTTGTAATTATAGAGGGATAGAAAATATAAGCTACTCACCCCAGCATCAAGAGCAATAGGCCTACCAAGATGGTCCATCTCTGATTCAAGTTCATCAATGCTTTTGTTTATCAAAGAAGTGATGCTTGGAATCCGAGCCCTAATTACAGATTCTAAATGCTGAAAACAAGGCCACATCATCAGAAAGATCCGCTTCAAGATTGCAAAGTCAATCCTAAATTAAAATGTACTCAAAATTAAACCTGTGAAAGAAGCTTCGCAAGATACTCTGAACCCATTTTACTCGCTAAGTGGCCATAGTCAGGACTAGTGGCAAAATACTCACGCTCCTTGCGTCTAGCCACAATCATATCCACATTTTTGTTTATATCAGCCTGTGAACGGTTCACAATTCCAACCCAAGGATGCTGCAGCCGGTAAGACCTTCCTTCAAGAACCTTAAGAACAGAAAAGTAAATTAAACAGGTTAGCAGACCAAGTCAGTGACAATATGAAAAGCATCGAAGAGAGACAAATAGATACAGTAAATTTAAAAATTTAAGTGAAAGAAAGCACAAGAACTCACATCCAAAGCATTGGTCCCTTTGTCCATAAGATCCAACTTAGTTAAAACCCCAAATGTCCGTTCACCTGGTATAAATAGGACAAGATTTTGTCAAAGAAAAAGAATAAACCAAGCAAAATATTACATTGCAAAGATATGCATCTATGCTAATGCTATAGTAAAACAATAGTTATTACATACCCGTGGGATCTACCTCCCTAGAAAGTTTGATAGCATCTGAAGTTGCTATATCTTGATTAGCTGGAGATATAGCTAGTATGACACAATTAGGCTACAAGAAGCATAATGATGATTTAGAATACAAATAGAACACAACATTAGTATCTCAGGAAAACGGGATAATCCAACATCTATAGCCCAGAGACGAGAGATGAAGGGGGATGGGAGGGGGGCAAAAAATCATCACCTCTTAATGAAGCAGAGTTAAGGCCAGGGTGGTGCTTACCTTCTCAACAAAAGACCGAACCATGGTTTCAATGTCTTCAACAACACTTTCAGGCTGTCCCTCTGAAAAGAATAACGGTATTCTTTAATCAAGTGAACACGAAAGAAAAAAAATGAACATGTGGAATTCATGAGTAACAATTAAAAAACACTTACCGACTGCAACTTTTGTTAAGCCCGGCAAATCAATCAGGGTTAAATTCACAACTGTGAAAAGAGAATAAATGATGTTAGTTAAACGAATCGGACTGAAACCAAAAAAGAAACATAATTGTGATGCTGATGACAAACCATTTGGAGAGTAGATACTGAGATGGATAGGAACGGGAGATATCTGTTTGGTCTTCCCAGTTATCCTATCAGTTTCATCCTGGATTTCTTGGCGGACCATCGCTGCAACAAGATAGGAAGCAAGGAATAAGCTTCAAATTCAACTTAGGACCATATAAACAGAATATGCAACATAATTTGAAGAAAAGAAAGCTAAAACATGGCAAGTCCAACAAATTCGTAATTTGAAAGGAAAAGTAATATGAAAAAGATTACAAAAATCAGTGAATCTTCTCTTGGGCAAGTGAAGAAACTCAGCATATTCTTGTGATGCTTGGTCTGTCTTATGAAGCTGCAAAACCAGAGGCCGTCTCGTCACAATTCCTGCACAAAATTACACAACACTATTAGTTGCATTAAAGAGATTAAAATTTATAAAAAGAAAAAAGAAAAGAAGGGGAACTAACCCGATCCTCTGGGAAGAAAGTCACGGCCGACTATGCTCTCAAGCACTGAAGACTTCCCCGAACTCTATTTTCAACACAAATAGAAACAAAAGAAAAGAAACGCACCTAGTATTAGAAGATTTTGATTATGATAGTTGTTCAGTGAATGAAGAAGAAATGAAAAAGACGTAAAAGGATGAAGAACCTGGCCGCCGACGACGGCGACAGAGGGAAGAGCATCCCAAAGGGAAGAGAAAGCGTTATCGGCGCCGCCATAGTCACCGAGAACCGTACAAGCTCGCTGGATCCTGTTAACCAAGCCGATCAAACTCTCCATGGTGGTCATCTTGGATATTGAACCCTAGAAAAGCTGCAGAAAAGACGACAAGTTGGACTTGAAATGGACGCCAAAAGAACGAATAGGAATGAGCTTTGAGAAAAAGCGAAAACAAAGGGAAGAACGAGAATTGAAACTTGGATCGACAAATATCGGTCAGAGACAGTCGGCTAAAGAAATATTATTATAGTTCATGTTTTCGTAGTTTTCTTTTTTATTATTATTATTTTTTTAAAAAAAAAGGAGTATTTTATTACCACTGGGTTTAGATTTTTGAAAGTTCAAAAAAGTTGGGGGCCCACGCAAAGGCCTAGAACCGTTGTCGTAATATGGATTCCCTTTTTTGGTTTGTTTTATTGAATTAAGAAATGTAAGGAATGTGAATGGTTGAAGAAGGAACGATTATGAAGTTCGGAATACCAAAATGGGCGGCTGAGCTGAGAGACAGAGCAAAGCGATTAATCAACCTTTTTCTTGTGCGTGTGTTCAGGCTTGGCAACCTAACCATCTCTGACAGATTTGGATCCAAAACGATTTTATGGAGTTAATTTTTTTTAAAATTAAATTTAACGTTAAATCGAATCAAATAATATTAAAATAAATTAAAATGGGATGATATTCAAAATTTAGACAAATTCAACCTAATCTATTTTGATATTATATAAAAATTATTTTTTTAATTTTTAATTTATATATTTATATAACTATATATTTATATTTAAAAAATAATATTTTATTAATTTTAAATTAATTTGAATATAAAAAAAAATTTAAATCATATCAAATTTAAATTTTATGAATATAAAATCAGATTTGATTTAAATCGAACAAAAACTCTCCCGAATTAAATTCATTGCCAACCTTATGTGTGTTTGCCATGCTGTACTCTATTTTTACATCAAAATAAATAAACAAAGATGAAAAGGTCTAAGTCTAACTAAAGCCTAATCAGGCATTAATAAAAAAAAAATTAATTTCCCATCTTTTTATCTAGATAAATCTATTTATCTATGTTTCTCAGTCAAATATCTATTCAATTGGAACAACTACTCATCATTCAAATTGCCTCCTACGGCTATCATCCCATCATACTAGTACTACTAGTATGCTTGATTCTTCCTTTTTTTTTTTTTTTTTCCTTTCATTATCGAAAGAAGCAGGAAAACCTGCTACAAAAAACAATTCAAAGTGTATTGTAGGGAGTTCTTATACAATCTCCCAATTTTGATATAAGAATTTAATAAAAGGGTTTGTTGTATTTTTTATAAATTTAGACAGACGAAACTTTACATTAAAATTTATGACTTGCAAAGTTATATAAATGGATAGAGAAGAAATACCAATTTTTTGTAAATCCATTGCTCCCTACATGGGATATATGCGTGCTGTCGATGCACCTCTTAAATATATAGCTGTGAGAGCTTTCCTCGTAAAATGGTCTATAGCCCAGCTAAGCTCCTCATGCCAACTTCGAATTCTTCTGTTAAAGCCACACTTTGCCAAAATCAATCTCCAAACTTCATTTCAAAAATCACAAGAGAAGAAAAGATGATATTGCAAAAATAACAAGTCGTCTTTGACAGTTGAATACGTACTCTAACTTGTAATGCGAGAAAGATACTCAAGTCTATCAAGAACAACAAGCCAAGTGATGAAACTATGCCTTGGAATGAAGAGAAGGCGAGTTCCACACCAAGTTTTGCCAAGCCACCGTCGAGCGTTGATCCATTCCCAAGTATCAGAAAGTGCAAACTTGCTTGACTTTGACGCTGGCCAAACAACATCCTCTTTTGCAAAAATACGTATATCAGTCAGAGCTTGATATACATTCCTCAATTCTAGAGAGGTAATGAGTGATCGAGTCCAATCTTCATTCAAGAGAACATAAACCACAGTTGCATTCTCAGAATTGCAACATGTGATGAAATGCCCCTACCATAATTAACAATTGGACCATCGTCAAGCCATTTGTCAAACCAGAAATATGGGCTTTGCCCATCCTTGATCTTATGCTTCAAGAGTGTAATAGCCATGCTCCTCAATTTAAGAAGTTTCCTCCAATGTCAGCTACAGTCTTGAGGGCAGGCAAGGTGCCAAAAACTTTTTCCCTTTATACGATTGGCTTTAACCCATGCCACCCAAAGAGAACCCGCCTGTGTAACTAAATATGTTTTAGAAGGCATGCATTGTTCCAGGTCAACAAATCTCTCAAGCCAAGTTCTCATTCCCTTCCCTTTCCAAAAAAAGAAGAGCAAATCTGATTTACCCTCTCGATAACCATTCTAGGAAGTGGGAACATGTTACACCAGTAATTCTGAAGGTTGAACAACACTGATTGTATTAACTGCAGCCTACCAGCATACGAGAGTCTCCTGGCAGGCTAGATGTGGATTAGAGCAGTGATTTTCTCTATCAAAGGTTGAAATCTATCACTCAACTTCTTGAAGGAAAGAGGAACTCCAAAATATTTTACTGGCAGTCTCCTCAATCTAAAACCAATATTTACTTTGATTTCCTGAATCTCAGCATTATCAATGTTAGCATGGAAAAGTTCACTTTTGGCAGGATTCAATTGCAAGCCAGAAAGAGTATAAAAATATTGAAAAATAGATCAGAAGACTTGCTGGACAGTTTATGAAGATAAAATTCTTTCGTTTCCACCTGACCTGACCACAACAAGCTCTGCACAACATCTATGATTGAGGGGGATCTTTTTGGCTGAATTAAATATGAATAAAACTAATCCTTCTTATAAACTATACTCCACATGCTCATCTGCACATATAATTCTATAACTTCCTCCTGCAAATAACTAAAAAACACGTATGTCGTTCTCCAATTTAAGCAAGACCCACATTAACAACAGATCAACAGCCACATTACCTGCCTCTGCCCTTTTTTTTTTTTTAATTTTGGGGCTCTCGAGCATCAATGTCACGATATCCTTCTGCCAGATCCTCTTCTACAGCTTCCTTCAACACTGCTGCCGCTACCTCCTTTGTTTTATCTCTTATCCTACAAACAAAATTATTAGACTTAGCGAAGGACTCACTAAATTGAAAGCTCTCAACTTCATTCACCAGGTGAGCCAAGGAGAAAAAAAAACAAAAAGAAAAAAGGGCTGATAGCGTACTTTGATATTGAAGGTTATATGACCCCTTTGAGAGCCTCCCTTCAGTTTGATTTAATCTTGGTTTTTTTTTCTTTTTTTATAATAAATCTGTCAAGTTAATTTTTTTAAATTTTGTTAAATTAGGCTATTAGAGATGTGGGTCTTTTTTCCTGTGTTTTTGTTTCTCGTATTTTAGTTATTCACCTGCTTAATAATACGATAATCAGTTAAAAAGGGAAAGGCGGTTGGTTTTTACATACTAAGCTTTTTCTGATCCCTTTGTGAATTGTGATTGTGATTGTGAATTACCAAATTTCTTCATCTCATTATTTTATTATTATAATGTGAAATGCTAATCACGCATTCCTTTGCGCCCAATTTAAGTGGGAAATGAATGAATGTTTCAAAAATACCCTCAATGTCCCTCTCCATATTTCACCTTTAACTTTTTTTTTCTTTGTTTGACTTTATATAAACCTTCAAAATATAACGATAACTTAAATTTTATATAACCTATACTGTTATTAATTGTTATGAAATGATAATCACAGGTCACAGCTACCTCCTTAACAAGGTGAACGAGACAAGAAAGGCAACTTGAAAAGGTTAGAATGTCTGATAGTGTGAGGCGTGACGCAGGCAGGTTGACATTAGCTTATGGTACACTCGATCCCAGATAAAAAAAAAATTAAAGCATAGAAAACTACACCTGAGGCAGGCTAGGCTGACACACAACATAAGCTGATTGCTTCTTTCGGTTGACAACAACCTGACACAATGCTATCATCCACCTAAAATCTTACCAATCATCCTCTATCAGCTAAACCATTCTTTTTTTTTTGATGCCACACAAATATCTCCCTGCTTTTTTCCTCCACTCTGATTCTGCACGAAACTTCTTTTTTCTCTTCTACTAGACTACAACTTAATCTAGACGAGTTTCTATCTGGGTTTTCTTTTCATTGCTAACAAAGCATGCTGTTTTAATTGGTATGTTTTTTGAAAACCCAGTTTTTGGAAGAGTTTAGGGTTTTCCCTCTGCTTTTCACTCTCAAGCTGTTTCCCACTTAATATTCTTTATCGTGACATTTGATGCTCTGGACCCAATTCATTGATCTAACTTGTTGGAATCCTTTTGTGTCTTTGCATATATTCTTGAATTGTCATATCAATTGTATTAGGGGAATCCTTCATTTCATGTGGATTACTAATTAATTTTGTTATGAATTGATTCAACAAATGAGTAGTATCATTCTATAAACTACTTTTAATTAGCTTCAATTCATATAAAGATCGCTGCTTTGTTGGATTTGTGGTGCTTCTTTATGAAAAGTTAGACCTGTGTCTTGCAGATGTGCGCTTGCTTGTGAATTCTGATGCTTAGCTGTAAATAGCTTCTGTTAAGAGCAAGCAAAGCGATGAAAGAAAACATGGATGATGGGGAGATAGAGCTTTCTGACCATGTTCTATTATCAAACTCTGATTCATCTATCAATTTTCTGGATTCAACATCAGTCGATTTAATACTTGATGAATTCTTAAAAAATACCAGAACATGTACCCATACTCACACTTGCAATCCACCTGGCCCTGATGCGGCACATTCCCATACATGCTACCATACACATACCCTAGTTCTTACATCTGAAGAGGATGACCACCAGATTAATAAAGAGAGCTCTAGTTTGAAACCAAGAAGGCCTTTGGGGAATAGAGAAGCAGTTCGGAAATATAGAGAGAAAAAGAAGGCACATACTGCTGATTTGGAAGAGGAAGTAAAGAAACTGCGCCTACTGAACCAGCAACTTGACAGAAAATTACAAGGACAGACAATACTGGAAGCAGAGGTTTTGAGGCTGAGAAGCCTTTTAGTAGACCTTAGAGCAAAGATTGATGGTGAATTGGGTGTTTTTCCCTTCCAAAAGCAGTGTAACAATGCCACTATTATGAAGGAAGGCGATTGTGGGGTGCAGTCCACTGGTGAGGCAATCGGTCTACAATGTCAGACGGATTTGCCATGCTTCCATTCACATGCTGCTTCATCATCACAGGCTAGCGTTGATGGAAGTGAGAAAATGAACATATCCTCGGAAGCAAACTGCCAGCCTGCCATTGTAAATTGCCAAGCTAACATAAATCAGATGGCAAGTGTTGAAGGACACCAAGTGAACACAGTTGAAACCTTGGTGTCTTGTGCATCTCAAGATGGTGATTAACTGCAAGGAAAGAACTTATTTGTTAAGTCGCCCAATATTTGATCTTTTGTCGATTAAAAAAGTCTATCCGAGTCTATGTCAGTATGCTTGATATGCAAACATAAAATTATATGCTCTGGTATATATAGAATAATGATGATGCGAAGAGTGTTTATTAGGTTTTGTTGGCCACTGTAAATGCATATGTATGTCATCTACCTGAATACAAACTATAGTCTGAAAGAACCAAGTAGTCAAGAACATATATAACATCTTGTTTTCGTCTAACTGCTTATATAGTACGCTAGTACCAGCATGTATGTAAATAGAATCTCCCATTTGCATCTTTACTGCTATTTTATTTGTGTTAATACTCAAGATGGTTCAAGTGCTGCTGCTTTGAAATCAAATGGAATAGCATGATACAGTTAAATATTATCTTATATAAGGCTGCTTGCTGGATGGTTGTTGTTACCAGGTCTTATTGTACGCTGCCTCTTGCATGGAAATTGATGGTAAAAACAGAGGTCATATAAGATTCAAGATTCAATAACAGTTCTTTTACTAGCAAATGAAATTGATAATTTTTCCTTTTTGTCAAGAACAGGGCATGCAATATATATATATATATATATGTGGATAAATAAACTAACAGAGGGAAGAGTTTATAGTGGGATACACATTATAAACTGTCAATAAAATCTCATCTTTTACTTTGTAGCGCAAAATAGATACAGGCCTAGCTTTCCTCATTAAATGCAGCAGGATTTGGATAGAGCCTTACAATTGCAAACGTATTTGGACCTTTTATATAGGCCTATTCAAAGAAATCAATCGCTTGGGCTTGAGCAGTAGTCAATACTCAATAATCAGGAGGACGAAACACTCTCTGGCTTTCAAGCTTAATCAAGGAAATATGGCAGTAGATGCTTTCGGCTAAAATGAAGTTTCAGACCTAAAAAATTGGAGTTAAGTTATTTTTGGCAAAATATGGACCCAAATCCAAATTTCTTCCTAAAAACTCTTAGTTGTTAGTAGAGTAGTGTTTAATAAAAAATAATCCTACAAGCAATATATAATAAGATGTAAAAATACGATATAAAAATAAATAAGTGATTGATTTAATTAATTAAAATTTTTTTTTTTGATAAAAAAATTTTAGATTTAAATTTTATTAATGATTATTTGTTAAGATCATTTTAAATATATGATTTATAATCATTTATTTTAACTATATTTTATTTTGATCTAGAACTAAAAAATTTATTTATTCTGATTTTTTGTAAAAAATAATTAATATAAAGGATATAAAAAAAACTATATAAAAGAAAGATAAAAAAAATGATATAAAGGATATCTAAAAAGAAAAAAAAATTGATATAAATGAAAGACGAAAGGAGCAAGCATGTTAGCAGACAGGTTGAACACTGCAAAGTCACATCGAGAAAGGAAAGCTTAGCGAATAGCCAACCCAGCCAGCCCCACGTCCCGACCGCTCTCTCTCTCTCTCTCTCTCTCTCTCTCTCTTTGTGACTTCAAATAAATATTGAATGGGTAATTTGGGCAAAGGAGCTGTCTGTCAGGAGTGAGGATGAATGAGGACCCTATGCAATGCCAAATGATTCATGCTTGCCCCTGCTCCCGCCATTGCTCCCGTAGGAGAGATAAGACAAATAAATATTGGTTCTTCGCTTTTCGTTTCAGACAAATCACGCAGCACAGAGGCCCGCATGGGTCTCCACCTCCTCTCTCTCTCTCTCTCTTTGGTTTACCCTATTTTTATTCCAATTCACTCATTTTTTAACATCTTGATTATTGGCTTTGATTATTAGTACCATTCTTTCATGATTCAGAGACAAGATTCCTCTGGCCCTCCAACCAATGCTGTATGGTTTTTTGATGTTTCCTTTCCTTTCCTGCCCTCCCCTCTCTTATTTCGGATAGTTTCAAATTATAAACATATACATATAATATGTATAATCATAGTAGAAAATAGTATAGTAATTAACTCTTAATTGTTCCGAAGATGGATACCAACTCCTAAACCCCTTTTTTATATAAAATGAAATTAAGATCATCGATTAATAAAATCGAGAAATGCTATTTATATTTATAATGTTAATGTTGCATATGTACGGTTTGAACTGTGGTCATGCGTCGGTTTTTTTTTTTTTTTCTGTTGATTTTTTAATTTTTTTTCATTAACTTTTTTTTTTTTTTAATTTTTAACTTTTTAATGTTTTAGGGTTTAGGGTCCCAAACGTCACTTATTTGTTGTTTTGCTCTACACTAATATTTACGAATTACAATGACAGATAATTCATTTTAAAAAATGTCATAATATATGAATAGGTATGCAAATTAAGTGTAACTGATTTCTCTCAATAAGAATTCAGGAGGAGGAAAAAATTAATAAAGAAAAAAACGTTTACATTTTATTATATGTCTATGATTAGCATTTGTACATGCTGCATTAGTAATTCAGCACCTATTGTTTATCCGCAACGGTTTAGCCGTGACCTTAATTTGGGTCAATACCTTTATGCATACATAATTGATCATTCTAAAAAAAAAAAAAAGTCAAACAAATTAAAATAGCAAGGTAATTAATTAAAGGACATGCTTTTTTATATTTTATGCTACTTATTATACTAAAACTTCATTACAATCACCAAAAAAAAAAAAAAAGGTGCCTTTTATGCATGTGTGAAATGATCTTTTTCTTCTTCGAACAGATAAAACAAAAAAAAAAAAAAAAAAAAAAAGAAAGAAAGAAAAGAGATGATCTGTTTCTAACATCACATGGGAAGTGAGGATACAACAACGGGAAGGTATTGGAAACCATGAAATCTTGATAGCGCATGAAAGACAACACTGTTAACTCTTCATTTCATCAATCACTTGTGAGAGAGAAATGCAATAAACAAATTAAGGTTAGAAAATAGAGTTCGTAGAAATTAAGGCATGCAGGGAAACAATTAATGAAACAAGAAGTAAGAGTAAGCCTGAAAATTCAAATTAAAAAGGTTAGTTTCTTGGGTTGCACTTGATATATATATATATATATATATATATGCATGGTGATTAATTGATTAGTAAGGGGCAGACCAGGGCCAACATGCACTAACCCATCTCCATATTTATAGAGTTGTTGCAAAACCAACCAAATGCATCTTAATTTGCACAAAGTTAGGGAACACAAAATTTCATGTCTCTTCTCTCTATTTCATTTTTCAATTATTAACCTACCTCTCTCTCTCTCTCTGTCTCTGGGGTCGGTGACTGGCATTAATGCATCATAATTTTGAGGGTGTTGTTTTTCATCCTTCTCATAATTGATCAAATTTTGTAGGTAAGCTTCTTATCTTAAAATGCTGTAGCAACCATGAATATCCTTTTGCTAAGTTATTTCTATAATTAGAATTTACCTCTTCTTAGAAAACACTGCTTAATAAATCATTAGCAATCAGCAATGTATGCCTTAATTAACATGTGAATTATCCGATGCAACATGTAATTGTTTATAACATTATAGCTTGAATAATATCAAGTCCTAATTTCACAAGCTATTTTCAAGCATATTATTGTATGAATATCTAGCAAATTTTGCTTTATTGATTTAAAGATTTTGCTCATTCTTTAAAAGATAATAATCATGTTAGCTAAAAAATATCTTTTTTCAATGCATTAAAATTATTACATTAACTATTAACTATGCATTTAATACAAAAATATTTATATAAATAATATGATAACTAACATTAAAGAATGCCTTATAATTTTTTAGTCAAAGGAAGCCAACGATTGTCGGAAATCAATATAACCTTCCAAATATTTATGATTTCGTTTTGTTTGGTTAAAGTCCCCCGTATATAAATTTCTACTAGCTAGCTAGGAGCAGTATGTATGGTGCATTGGTGCTGCTCTTTTGTTAGTGAAATACATCTTCATGCTAATTAGTAATTAGTGAGTTTAGAACTAGAGTTGATCGATTTCAGCAGGGAAGAGTGGAAACGATATTTCCTTAATTAATTTCATGGTTCAATACGATTTTGTCATTATAAATTATACAAATATATATCTATATATTTCTCACCAGATTTCCACCTGATTAGTTCAGGTAAGATCAATCATGATCATTTATGGCTTTGGACCCCAGTTGGGAAAGGAACAGCATCTATATATCTGTAAAAGTTGCAAATGATCAATGATCATGTTCATTTTGACTGCACGCACTTGCTTCAGTGTAAGAGGAAAGGAAAGGGAAGAGAATAATTAGGAGATATATCGATCTCTCAATTAATCTACATAGCTAGCAACAGTATCAAAATATACTCCATATTTTAACCACCAAATCTTCAAAGGTGCTTGTCATAACATCTAGATATGAAGATTTATCGTTAGATATTGACTTGAGAAGTCATTATTAATCTTTTTTATTTATGTACGATTAGTCACCTGATTGAATTTGTCTCTTTTTAAAGAGAAATTTTAAGTTTGACTTAGGTATCTTTGTAAGATACATTCAACGTCTGCAAAATCAAAACTAGGTCCAGGAGTATGATTACGTGTGAAGAAGGTAATAATACCCCCACAACACCTATCGAAAGATGGTACCAGCTTGATTTCGTGTTACCTATTAGCCTAAAAAAAACTTACTAAGTAATTAATTATTAAAAATTATTCTTAATTGATTCCAATACTTTGGGCAGAAAATTAAGAAAATTTTCTCACCTCAAGAGTATTCAAGAAAACTATTGTTTCTCTTGCAAAGGCTCCATTGTCGGATTATTTAACATTAAAAAAGAATTCCGAAAAAGGAAAAAAATAATGCTTCAACTTATTCCGAATATCGCTTTTCTTATTTTTTGTTTTTTTTTTTAATTCATGCCTTTATTCAAGAAAAATTGATACTTTCAACTTTTCCTTGAAATGTATTTTTTGAAATTTTTATTTTTAAGAAAAATTGATATTTTCAACTTTTCCTCAAAAAAATATTTCTTGAAGTTTTTATTTTTAAGGAAAATTGATACTTTCAACTTTTCCTCAAAAAATATTTTTTTTGAAGTTTTTATTTTTAAGAAAAATTGATACCTTCAACTTTTCTGAAAAATATCCTTTTTGAAAATTTCATTTTTAAGAAAAATTGAAACTTTCAACTTTTTCTCAAAAATATTTTTTTTGAATTTTTTATTTTTAAGAAAAATTGACACTTTCAACTTTTTTAAAAAAATATTTTTTTTGAAAATTTCATTTTCAAAGAAATTTGATACTTTTAACTTTTCCTTAAACTTTTTTTTTTAATTTTTGTTTTTGAGAAAAATTAATTCTTTAGCTTTCCTTGAAATTTTGAAATTAGTTTTTTTGTTATTATTTTTAGAATAAGGTTTATTCAAGAAAAAGAAAATAAACAGCAAGGCAAAAATATATATATAC